TCTCAACCCATCTGTTTTGATGCATATATTCTTTAAATAGCCCTGAAGATCTCCAGGAACAAATGTGCCAACATCACCTGCACATTCAAACAATTATATTACTAGATCTTATTAGTGATACCGTACTGATGGACTTTTGAAGTGACTTATTAGAAATACACGTTCCAACCTTGAACAACTTTCCTGCATTTAGTTCTTGGTAATCCCGGACTCTTAGAATCTGGTGTTAGGACGTGTTTGACGTCAAATGGCAGTAACTTTCTCGCTCCTAGTTCTAGAAGTGCTGGTCTTAGGACATTCATCTGAATTTGTGGAATTGAAGTCTATAGTTCAGAACGACAAAAATTACAACTTGAGACAAGGCAACATGGCGCTAATCAGCGGAGCGTATAATGAATTCCAGTTTCTTAATTTCTTTAGTATACGCAAATTTATGCTATATATGGCTCAAAGGGTCAACAGATTCAAGACATTCAAATGGTAGAATGTATTATATTATCTTTTAGACTCACCATCTAAGTTCATCAGAGTCCGCCATAATTTTTGAAGTACTCCAGATTTGACCAATTGAAGGCCGATATACTTGATAAAAATACGCACTTCGCAGAGACTACTACATCATAAAATGATCGATTAATGTATACCAATGTCAAAAAATCCAAACTTGAAGCATAAAATATTAGTTTGCAAGAAAAATACTTTTTTGCAAGAAAAATTACAGTAATCTGCCAGTCGCTAATTTTTTTCTTTCGCCCTCCCCGTGAGCCTCTACGCGCCCACTTCTGGCCTCAGCCCGCGCGCCCGCTCTTGTCTTCAGCCGCCTGAGAAATATAAGATCTACAAGTATTTATATTTAAAAGCGATTGGGGGCGAGTCTGTGTAATATTCTTTCCGTTTTCACATTATGACTCCAAAAATATCTTGATTTTGTACTGTCTTGTTTTCACCGTTCTACTTGCGATATTTATATTCTGAAGTTATCTATCAACATGGAAACTTATCCTCATCTGGTAAGTAGTCAAATTTGTTTGTTATGTGTTTTTAGGTGAACCAGGGGCGTAGGAACCGGGGGGGCAGGGGAGCAAAATGCCCTTTTCTTGCGTGAAAAATGTCTTTAGGTAATTCCGCAGTTTTGCATTGCGCACTTTTACTGCGCACATCGTATAACTTATAATTTCATCCATTATACGTACCGTTTAAAAAAAAATATTTTATGACAATTTTATGTACTATTTAAAAAAACTAGCAGGAGTGTTTATTAGGTTTAAAGCCACGAGCGCGCAGCGCGAGTGGCTTTAGACCTAATAAAACACGACCCGCGAGTTTTTTAAATGACATCAAAAACGTATGCATAATAAGTCAAATCTTTATATAAAAATTTTTATATAAAAATCTGTATATAAAAATCTTTATATAAAAATCTTTATATAGTTTGCATAACAATGGTCTTTTGTTAAAGTGTTCTTCAGCTGGTATAAAGACGTATGCACGTGACTAATATCTTACTCAAGATTGGATAATTGCTTCATGAGTTATTAATGAGTCTTTGAAGTTACTTCAAAACATCTTTGGTTACATTCGTGCAAAGAATTACGTTAAAATCAATGTTTTCAAAAAAGGCATATAAACGTGTAGATAGGGTTCCTGTGTCTGTAGTGCATTTATTTACTTGTATTTCACGTTTTAATGCCACAATTCCCTAAAAAGATCGGTGACCCCGGTTTTTTAACTGATAATTTATTTCTTTAATGTATTTTGCATTTCATATCCGAAATTAAAAGAAAAATCATTTCTGGATCTTGAAAAAAAGGAAATGCTTTATCAATGCATGTTCTCAAAGAAAGATATGTAAAGAAATGTGGAAAAGACATTTATGGTTCAGAATTGTACACGTTAGTAGTTTCAGATATAAAACAATATATTTTCAAAAATAATTACAAGATAGGTTTACTAAAGCAAAATCAGCGTTAAAAACGTCAATAAATATCGGGCTGTTGTGATTTTGCTGTTACTCGTAATGAGCGTCAAGATGGCGCCATATTGGGGTAAAGGTGGTATATTGTGATTGTCATATTCTCTTAACGAGTTCGGTGACCCCGATTTTTGTGCGATTTTAGTTAAGTATATCATAAACTCCATGCCTGGGAAGATTCAGCACATTCTCATTTCGGGAACAATTGAGGATTGCCTTATGAAGGGCACTTTTGAAAACTTGAATTTATGTTATTTTCCGGAAAATTTAATTCATTTGCGGGAAAAATATGATATATTGGGAAACTTTTTGGGTATATCCGGAAAATTTTTTTCATATTTAGGAAAAAATGTGATATATCCGGAAAATTTTTTTGGTATGTCCGGGAAAAATTTTGAGACCCCCCCCCGAGATTATAAATAACACTAGAGGAGGCATTGTGATCTTAATTCAGTAAAAAAAGGGAACGCGATTATTGGGGGGCAAATTCAAGTCCCGGATGTGTATTCGTGTTCCCATTGGTGACGAGTTCAAATCAGCCAATGAGAGCACGATCTTATATCCGGGACTTGAATTTGTCCCCCATTAGCTGCGTTCCCAATTTTTAAACTCGATGC